GAGCCTCCTCTTCTCCAGGCTGAACAACCCCAGCTCCCTCAGCCTGTCCTCGTAGTGGAGGTGCTCCATCCCCCTGATCATCCTTGTGGCTCTCCTCTGGACCCTCTCCATCAGGTCCATGTCCTTCTTATATTGAGGGCTCCAGACCTGCACACAATACTCCAGGTGAGGTCTCACCAGAGCAGAGTAAAGTGGCAGAATCCCCTCTCTGGACCTGCTGGCAACGCTTCTTTTGATGCAGCCCAGGATGGGATTGGCCTTCTGGGCTGCAGCTGCCCACTGCCTGCTCATGTCCAGCTTCTCATCCACCAGCACCCCCAAGTCCCTTTCCTCAGGGCTGCTTTCCAATCCCTCACCCCCCAGTTTGTATTGGTGGTGAGGATTGTTCCGGCCCAGGTGCAGAACCTTGCATTTGCTCTTGTTGAACCTCATGAGGTTCACCTGGGCCCACCTCTCCAGCCTGTCCAGGTCCTTTTGGATGACATCCCATCCCTCTGGTGTATCGACAACACCACACAACTTGGTATCAGTCCACTTCCTAATTCTTTATGCTGGGTTCAAATAACTTCTCCTTTGCTTTCCTAGGGCACTAAGTGTCCTTGCTGGCTTTTATTTGGTGGAAGAAATTACCATGGCTCCTTTGAACCCCCCCTCTGCTGTGCTCTTTCAGGTTTCCATGGGCACCATGCGGCACCGAAGAAATGGCAATTTTGAGAGTTCCAGACTCCTCTATTCCAGCATGTCTCGCAGCATAGATGTGTCCTCCAGTGATGCTGTGAGTATCTGGTACATCCTTGGTAAGCTTGGGTGTTAACCCAGGGGCTGTGGGTTAGATCATGTCAGGAGAAGGATGGTTGATTTGTCAGTTCTCCTTTAAGGAGAAGTTTCCCTTCAAGCAGAAGCAGATGGATGGACTTCATTCCTTTTGATCCATCTCACTCTTTATTGTACACCCTTAGTCACTTCTGGTTTAAAATCCTATTTCACGTTTCAGTGAGAGACAAATCCTCCATCTCTATAAAGAAGAGCCCCCAACTCTTAAGGAGAATTGATGGCAAAGGCAGACAACATGTAATTATGTTAAACAACCCTTGAAAAGCCTCCATCATTTGCTGATGGCAGGGATTGTCTGGCAGATTTCTTGCTTCTGATGGGCTCCAAAGAGGCCTAATGACTAGCTCTTAGGTCTTTAGCAAGTGGCTCCCCCTCCTTTTTAATTTTTTGGTCTTGTGTGTTTCTTTTGGTCTCATTCTGGCTAAATACATTCTCTTCCATTTTCTTTGTTTTGGATACTATAGCCTTTTTTAAAGAATGCTTTTCCACTTGGAATGACTCCCTCTAACTGTTTAACCACGAGTGTTCTGTCAAAATGGTGAACTTAACTATAGCTGTACGTCCTCCCTTTTCAGCTTTCATCCCAAGCTAAATCTTGGCTTGCAAACCCAAACTTAAAACCAACAAAAAGCCAAACCTCCAAACCTTTCTCCACAAGGGAGAAACTTTTTTTTTGCTTTCCTGGCTTGCAAAGGCAGGTCAGGAATGAATTTGCCTCTCCCAAATTTTAGAGCTTTGCCTACACTTGTGGATTTTCAAGGTTAATAGGAGAGTTAATGGTCAAACAAGCTGAGGAGACTTTGTATTCCACTGAGCTCATGTAATGAGTGACTTCAGTCCTTCTGGTCTCCTGCTGTGGTCTAGTTGAGTTGAATTGAAGTGGCCCCTACCCAAAAGGATGTTAATATTTGGGGTTTTGTTTTGGTTTTGGTGGGGGGTTTTGTTTGGGTTTTTTAAATTTGATTTTTTTTGTTGTTTGGGGTTTTTTTTTGTTTTGTTTTTGATTTGTTTTGTTCTTGTTTTGTTTTGTTCTTGGTTTTTTTTCCCCTTGGGGAGAAACAGTGTTTGCCATGGTCTTTTAAGCAGTACCTAGACCAGAGGTAACCACTGTTTGAAAAATATTGGCAGTGCCCCAAATTATTTGGAAACATGGTGGTGTATGCAAACAGAAATGCTCTGTAGCCTACCCCTAACCATATTGTGCCACTGAATTCAAGTAACATGTTTTCTATGTGGGTCTTTCGGATTAAAAGTTGAAATAACAAAAAAAAATAGGCTCTCCATCCAGTCTGAGGATATCAAATCAGTTTTGCTGTTCAAGATTGTTGTATTTTTTTGGAGGAGAATGCCATACATTTTGCCTCTTTAGTATATATTGTGTTTGACAGATATAAAAATATTGATATTACATGTTTTTTGAATGCCTGTATGTGATTTTTAGTAGTCTTTTTTGTCCACTCACCTCCCATCAATGCTTTCTAGTTGCTCCCCACCACCCACTTTGAGAAAGGCGATTTAGGAATTTATACTAGTTTTCTTTGTGTTTAAACTTATCATGCTGTTACTGAGGTTTCTTCAGTTGTATGCCTTACCAGAAGTAAACGTTCTTCAAATTATTTTCAAGGATTTGGTCAACTTCATCCAAGAAAACTTTAAGAAGAGAGAATGTGTCTTTTTTACAAAAGACACCAAGGCAGCGTAAGCAGATATTTTTCTCTTGTTTTCCAGGTGTTGGGGGGCTGGGGGTATTTCTGCCTGCTATGCCACGTGGCAAGGGTTCAGCATGGAGCAAGGTGGTGGTTTTTTTTGGCTAAAAGTCTGAATTTAGCAATGCAACCTCACCTCAGTCTTGCTTGTACAACTCCTTTCATTGTCAGTGCTTCTTTGGCTTGTTTGCATGTGCCTGGGGTGTTTGGCAATTCTGGTCCCAAAATCTGGAAGTCTGATGGTCAGACAAGCCCCCTGGAGTGTTCCTCCCAGCTCTAGACCAATGGTCTCCAAACTATTTTGATTGCACACCCCATCAGTACAAAGATTTTTGAGCCTACCCCTCCATATATGTTCATTTAGAAACTATATACATCTACTACTGTTCTAATGTTATGTACCTTATAAACCGTACACAAAAATAGCAATTAAAAAACGATGAGATAAAGATGAAATAAATGCTATAATATTTTTTTTTTTTAAAGTTTATTTAATGCTCTGCCCAAATTGGGAGACCACTGCTCTAGACTGTCAGGAGTCTGGAAATATATCAGTTTGAGTTACTCCACAACTTACTTGATGCAAAACTTAGGGGCCTGACCTTCATGCTAACTCTGTCCTCATACCTTCCAGCAGCTCTCTTCAGGGGCTTTAATCCAAATTCCCTATTTGAAGCATAATTGCAGCAGCATATAGATGCTTTTAGGGATGCAGTACCAGCAGTGGTATTGATGAATAACTATGTATGTCTCATACCTTCCAGCAGCTCTCTTCAGGGGCTTTAATCCAAATTCCCTATTTGAAGCATAATTGCAGCAGCATATAGATGCTTTTAGGGATGCAGTACCAGCAGTGGTATTGATGAATAACTATGTATGTATGTATCAGAGGTTTGCCTAATTTAATTTTTCATATTAAACCCAACTCACAAATTCCATGCACAAGCCTTTAGGGCAGAGAGATCCAGCCACTAGTTTTTACTCAGGATGATGTTCATTTAAGACAGGATATTATACTTGCTTCATATTCAGACACAAGTACTTAATACAAGGTAAATTTGAGGACTGTGACATTGCTTTTGTTTTTTGGGTTGGTTTTTGTTGTTTGTTTTTTTTTTATAATCTCAGGAGAAAAGTGATCAAACTAATGCAGCTGCAGAAGTCCTAATATAGAGCTCTCAGAAACTCTATTCTCCTTTAAAGCTGGGAGGCAAAATGCCTTAGAGAGAGAGAGAGGGAGGGAAATTAGTCTTATTTCAGAAAGTCTTACTTAGGGTCCTCTTCTGCCATCTAAAATGGGATGGCTGGCAAAGGACCAACAAAAGATGGAGAGCTGGTTCTTATCAGCTTCTCTTCCTGCAAGCCCACTGGGAAAAGGGTTGCGAGTCATACTTTATAACTCGCTGGGATTTTTTTGTCTATCTATTTTTAAGGTGATCTGGTCTTATTTGCAAGCTCCAGCAGATTAGAAGGAACCATGTAAGTTTTCTCTCCTTCAGAGACACATGCTGTGACCTACCTTTCCAGCAGTCTTCAGAGGGGACATTACTCAGTATCACGTTTGCAGTCTGCAAGCTAACTATAAAGGACACCATAACCCCACAAATTAACATCCTCATCTTAATCCTTTTGGGCTGATGCATTTTTTTCCCCCCCCACTCTAGATTCCCAAACTGCACAATGCTGTTAATAGCACTGGTCCTCATGCTTTGTCCTTCTTCTACTTTTTTTTGTGTTGTTAGCTAGCAAAAATTAACATTGTGAAAGTGTTTACGTGATGTTGGTTGTTAGACCAAGGGCCCACACTTCCTCCCTCCTCTTGCTGTTGACAGTGCTCACTCTACTTGGCTGACTACAGTTCTCAGTCAACCCTGCCCTTTCATAAGCAAGGACCATTTCTCCATGCCCTCTCCATGTACCTCTCCATTTCTGGTGGTACCTGATGCCAAGTTCTGGTGCATTTTCTTCATTTCTGTGCACAGTTGTAGGTTTTTAAATGAAGCTGCTGGTAAATTAACTTGGTATGCAATAATCACAGAATCTTCATGGTTGGAAGGGATCTTTGAGATCGAGTCCAACCACATAAACAAACCAAACCAAGCAAACAAACAAAAAATCCCCCAAACTTCCACAAACAGACACAACCCAACAACCTCGGGCACTAGAGCATGCCCTGAAGTGCCACCTCTACAGGGTTCTTAAATCCCTCCAGGGATGGTGACTCCACCACCTCCCTGGGCAGGCTGTTCCAGGGCCTGACCACCCTCTCAGGAAAGTCATTCTTCCTAAAATCTCATCTAAACCTCCCCTGCCCCAACTTCAGACAATTTCCTCTGCTCCTGGCATTATTCCCTTGGGAGAAGAGGCCAACCCCCACCTCTCTACACCCTCCTTTCAGGTAGTTGTAGAGGGCAATGAGGTCTCCCCTCAGCCTCCTCTTCTCCAAACTCAACATGCCCAGTTCCCTCAGCCTCTCCTCGTAGGACTTGTTCTCCAGACCCCTCCCCAGCTTGGTGGGTAAGGCCCATCCAGAAGTGTCAGGCTCATCTCTTAGCACAGGCTGGTTCCTGAGATGTCCTCCACTCCATTGCCTGGTGCCAAGCAGAAGCAGATTATAGGAGTAGGAAGCATGATTAGGTGCTGGTCTCAGCTGAGAGTTGGTTCCTCTTAGCAGTTAATCTGTCACTTAGCAAATCCCAGGTGGAATCCCATGCACAACTGGTTTGGTAGCTCCACCTGCTGCATGGCTTGTTGTGTTTGTACAACCCTTCATGAAGACCTTGCACATGATGTGACTGCTATGGTAGGCACCCCGTATTCTGCTGGCTCCAAGTTTGCTGCAAAATAACACTTCTTGGAAATGTCCTGACCAAGCAGAAGTTTTGAAGGTGATTTCAGCTCTGAAAATATTCTGTCTGTTGTTCATAAACACATCAGAGCTCACTTTTCTGTGCTCGGGATGGTAACATTGGGGTTTCATGTCTATTTGCTCTTCTTTCAGGGGCAACTTATGTAAATGTGGGTACCCCGAAAATCAGCACATAGAGGGCACTCAGGTTAATAGCAATGAGAAATGGAATTACAAGAAGCACACTAAGGAACTTCCTACTGATGCCTTTGGGGACATTCAGTTTGAAAACATGGGAAAAAGAGGAAAGGTAAGTGATTGTGTTAAGAGCATGTGTCAGGCCCCTGTTGGGTGCCCCGTAGTCATTCCTGAATATGAGGCCAGTGGAAGCCCCTGAAAAGCAGGGGAGGTGGAGCTAAAGTCAATTTGATTTGAATGGGAATGGCAGAAGTAAGACTACAAAGGAGGCAAGCTGGTTTCTCAAGTCCTGGCAGCAGATAACAAAGAATAATTTCTTTTCTGTTATTTATTTCACAGGCTAATGATGGGAGTGAAAGAGATTATCTCTTTCCAGGCGTGGCAGGAGAATGGGTGAATGAGGGTGATTCTCAGTTATTATTTTTTATATTATTTTTTATTAGTTCTGAAGGTCTTGGGCTAGTTAGGATATAATTTAAAACAGATTTGTGGTGTCTGTCACCAGAACTCTGCACCCTGACTATATCAGAGTGCATTGCAGTGGCCATTTTGTGGTCCCCCTCTCTACTGAAATGTGGTTGCATTTTAGTGGTGAACCTGACCTAATAAGGTAAAGTGTCTGAATGACCAAGCTCCTGATAAATGTGCTTCGTTCTTGACCATCGTGACTTTAACCCCAAGACAAGGCTGGTTTTTGGAAAATAACTCCTTTCCAGTGTGTACCAACTTATGCTTTAGAAAGAAAACGGTGTGAGGGTGCACACCAGTTGGACTAGATGGTCTCTAGAAGGTCCCTTCCAACTCTGACAAATCCATGAATCCATTCATTCTTCAAAAAGTACAAAAGTAAATTAACTCTGAGTCGTACCAAGCACCTTATAAACAATGGGCAGTCAAAATGGATAATAATCCCCAATCAAGTAGATTGTCCAAAGCATTTTTTGGGAACTCATGAGCATCAACAACACAAAAATCATTACTTTTGCTTGTAGAAAAGAAGCTAATTTTTATGTAGTGTATGTAGACATAAGGAGTTACAAAGCTGGGACAGGAGCATGTGGGACATGCTTTGCCTTGGAAGGTGCAGCAGGATCCATGAGGTGATAACCACGGGCATTCCATGTCTGTGGGGATGTAAGACCTTTCTTTGGAGGGTCTGTACCAAACAGAAGCTGCATGTACCTCCTGGTTACTCCATAAAATCATCAGTCGTGCTTTGTAATGGCTTTAACACATCATCCAAAGCTTGTCTACACAACCTGCTGAACCTCTATTCCCTCCTCCCCTGTTCTATGTGCAGATGATCATAGCTTAGGCCTTGGACTGGACACTCTGAAGGCTGTGGTGGGATGTTGGAATGGGGTTTGTGTGCCCTGCACCCTCAAAGAGTCATTTTCTTTGGAAGGGGTCTCCAGAGTCATCTACTCAAAGCTCTTTCTCAAAGCATATCCGTGAGGAACAGCTTGCTCAGGCCCGTAACCAGTTGAATATTGAGCTTTTCCCAGAGTGGAGACCACACAACGATGGTAAATTGGAGAGGGATGTAAGATAACAGTGGGACTTTGGAGGTTTTATTCTGTTTGTGTGTGTCCCATTCCCCTAGGCCCGGGTTTTTCCTTGATGTGGGACAGTGGAGGGATAGAAAGAAGAAAACAGTTGGTGTTGCAATTTCTGATGATTTGGATTTACACTGTGTGAAGGAGGCACAGGAGTCACATGTGGCTGAGCTCATCTACCTCTCCTAGATGGCTGAGATTTACCAGCAGTGCAGCTTTTTTGAACCATTCCCCTAGGCCCGGGTTTTTCCTTGATGTGGGACAGTGGAGGGATAGAAAGAAGAAAACAGTTGGTGTTGCAATTTCTGATGATTTGGATTTACACTGTGTGAAGGAGGCACAGGAGTCACATGTGGCTGAGCTCATCTACCTCTCCTAGATGGCTGAGATTTACCAGCAGTGCAGCTTTTTTGAAACAATCAACATAATTGAGGAAAATCAGAGCGTGCTGTGTAAATTAATCGGGTGGGTTTTATGCAAAGTAGCAGAAAGGAGGCATTTGGGTTTGAGACAGACTGAAGGTTTTGAATCACGCTTAAAAAGATCCAAGCACTTCCCAGATTTGTTGATATTTTAGCTTTATTCTGCTGTGTGCCTTCCGTGAAAGAAGAAATTATTTGCTCTGGCACCTGCCTGTCTTAAACATTGCAAAGTGTTTCCTCTTGAGCTTGTGTGTAGAACGTCAAATCCAAAATAATCTGAGAGTTTCAGACTGTTATCAACGAGGGTTGGAAAGTTTTATACCCTCCATTGTACTTTTTAGGATGGATGAGTCCTAAAAGGTCCTGGGAGGAAATATTAGATGTGAACAGACTGATAAAATCCCCACGTTTAAGCCCTGCTCGCACTGTCTTATTTTTGCGGTGTTGCTCTGATGCTTTAACATCTAAAGACATTGCAGTTTCTGTGGTTTATGTTCTGGTAGCCCTCAATCTGAAAAAAAATAATAAGAAGAATCCCTCTCTGAATACTTTTCTGAGTGATGGTTGGGCTGTACCAGGAGATGGCATCCTTGTACCAGGAGAAAGAAACTGGCTGAACTGAGGGATTCACCCTCTTGAATGCAGCCTGTAAAAGACCCTGGAAGCGACAAGTGCCAGACATAAAGTTGCTGGTACATTGAATGAATAGATGAAAACAACAAGTCATTCAACTGGAAGCCTTGATTGTTGATGGAACAATGGTAGTCATGCAGATACAAGGTACTTTGCATGATCAGCAGTGTTTAGGATAAATGCCTTCTAACTACAGAGCTACCAAGACTTGCTGTGGGCAAGATGATTCAAGGATTGGAGCATCTCCCTTATGAGGAGAGACTGAGAGAGCTGGGACTCTTTAGTCTGGAGAAGAGAAGGCTGAGGGGAGACCTTATCAATGCCTACAAGTATCTCAAGGGAGGGTTGAAGGAGGAGGGAGCCAGACTCTTTTCAGTGGTTCCCAGTGAGAGGACGAGGGGCAACGGGCACAAGTTGGAACAGAAGAGGTTCCACTCAAATATGAGGAGAAACTTCTTCACAGTGAGGGTGGCAGAGCCCTGGAAGAGGCTGCCCAGGGAGGGTGTGGAGCCCCCTTCTTTGGAGATTTTCAAGACCCGCCTGGATGCTCCTGAGTAACATGCTCTGACAAGCTCTGGGCAATCCTGCTTCAGCAGGGGAGTTGGACGAGATGATCTCTATGGTCCCTTCCAACTCTAAAAATTCAGTGAAATTCAGTGAAATAGCTTACTGGCTCTGTGGAGCAGTTAATGTTTCTGGCAGGCTCCCTTCCCCTAGGGGGGACCCTCTCCTGAAAAACACCCAAGGCTTCATGTGGCTGATGCTTATGAAGAGCAGCAGCTCTCCTGTGTAGCTGCTGGAGCCTGCTAGGCTTCCTCTGTGATGCACTGTTCTGAGCCAGGTGCAATAAGTGCTCCTGGGAACCCCTCCTGGAACAGTTGATGATGTTCTTTAGTTCGAGTTAAATGTCTCTCAAGACATTTCTTCTTCAAACTAAGCCATTGGGTTCGCTTTCCTGCAAAGACTGGGCAATCTGAACCAAATCCACTATGATACGGGTCCAAGTTACTTCTTTTCATCCCTTGGACCTGTTGGGTCTAGCGGAGGGCCACCAAGATGGTCAGAGGGCTGGAGCACCTCTGCTACGGGTCCAAGTTACTTCTTTTCATCCCTTGGACCTGTTGGGTCTAGCGGAGGGCCACCAAGCTGGTCAGAGGGATGGAGCACCTCTGCTGTGAAGACAGGCTGAGGGAGCTGGGGTTGTTCAGCCTGAAGAAGAGAAGGCTCCGGGGAGACCTCAGAGCAGCCTTCCAATATCTGAAGGGAGCTCCAGGAGAGCTGGGGAGGGACTCTTTGTCAGGGAGTGCAGTGACAGGACAAGGGGGAACGGTTTTAAATGGGAAGAGGGGAGATTGAGATGAGATACCAGAAAGAAATTCTTTGCTGTGAGGGTGGTGAGACCCTGGAAGAGGTTGCCCAGAGAAGCTGTGGCTGCCCCATCCCTGGAGGGGTTCAAGGCCAGGCTGGATGGGGCTTGGAGCAACCTGGTCTGGTGGGAGGTGTCCCTGCCCAGGGCAGGGGGCTTGGAACTGGATGATCTTGAAGGTCCCTTCCAACTCTAACCATTCTATGATTCTAGTATAAATTTGATAAAGTTGCTTTGTGTTATACTTAAAATGCTGTTATGGGTATAAGTTATCACAGGGGCAATGTACCCGTGGAGCCTGGAATTTATAGTTAGTCAAATCAAGGTCGTACCTGTGGAGCCTGGAATTTATAGTTAGTCAAATCAAGGTGTTAATAGTGTAATCAAAATACAACTGTAATCATTATTAGTTCACTTATAGCAATGCTGTCATTAATCCATAATCCAAGCTATGAATCCAAGCTTTGTTAGAGTTAAAATTATGTTATAGTGTAAATGTCCTTGGTGTTGTGCTCATCCTTCCAGTGCTCCTCTGAATCCCAGTCTCAGTGCTCTTCTCTTCCTCCAGTGGAAAGAGGCTTTGGAGGCTTTATTTGACCCCTGAGGTTTTTGAAGGGATAATTTCAGTCCTGATCAACCCTCCTCCTTGGTCCTGGGATGCCTGGAGTTCTACCTATACATTTCTTTCAAGACGGTCTGCTTGTGCTCTTTCTTTTCAGTGGTTCTGAATTATATCATTCTTTTGGCTGCATTTGTTATTTCCAAAAATAATTTTACCTGATTCATAAGGTTGCACTCAAATATAGTGCAAATTATTGGCAGTTGTGATTTTTTGTTTTTGACAGACAGGACCTCTGTCGTTCAGTGCCTGCGTTCTTCTGTGCCACCTTTTATTGTGGTTATACATTGTTCAATTAACTATTTGTTACTGTTATGGCTAATGAAATGTAGACAATGGTTATTACACTGCTAGACAGCTGCTGTCACAACTGTCCTCAGACCAGGGCAAAGAGAATTTGCCCTCTTGGGTTGGTACAAAGCCTGTGGACTTTTACTAGTAATGGCAAAAAATAATTTTTTGGGGCTAGGCAGTATATCTTCTGCCAAATTTTAGATGTAGGTGGCAGAACATGGTGGCACAGCCTCACACTGCACTACCCCCTGACCCCACTACCAGGGTGCTGGAGACACTGGTTGCAGTTTTTGGGCTGAAATCACGGAGAAGGGAGATCTTGAGGCCAGTGGGTACATTCTTTGTGGTGCTGCTGCCCTGATGTTGCCGCTTTTGTTCCTCTCTCTGTAAGACTCTGCCTCATCTCCAGACCTCAGCACTGGTCTGTTGAGAGAGGAGATCCCCTTGCAAGATCCTAATAACAGATCTCTGGTTGTAGGGGGAGGATAAAGAATGTTTTAGGGGAAGAAACAAAGACTTACGCTCTGGTTCATCATCACTTTACCCTTTTGTGTAACAGTTGTTGGAAGAAGAGTGTGGAATTAGAGAAGAAGATGCAATTCCTGCTCTGCTCCCAGCTGTCACTATTTATCTCTTGCTGATTTGTTTCTCCTCTTCTCTCTCACCCAAGTACATCCGTTTGTCGTGCGACACGGACTCTGAAACCCTCTATCATCTCATGACCCAGCACTGGCACCTGAAAACCCCTAACCTGGTCATCTCTGTCACCGGGGGGGCGAAGAACTTTGCGCTCAAGCCCCGGATGCGCAAGATCTTCAGCAGGCTGATCTACATTGCCCAGTCCAAAGGTAGAGAGACCTGCAAAGGAGTCTGCATTATTTTATTGCTGCATGATGCTGTTGGAGAAGTGGTGGCTCAATGGGTCAGCAGAGAAGGAGGGCATTGAGTTTGTTTTCTCTTGGCTAGCACATCTTGGTTTCAGACCATTAAAGTGCACGTTAAAAAGAACAGCCTTTTACCATGGACAACTCCAACCCAACCGCTTTGGAGGAGGAAGCTGAAGCCTACAAAGGAGTGCTGTCCTCCCATCAGAGCTACACTACGAAAATCCACACGAAAATCCACGCAAAATTTTGCTAAATAATAAGCCAGTTCATACAGGCTCTGTAGGGACACTTTAGACTTTCACTGTGCAGTTCTTCAAAGAAGGCTGCCCAGGGGGGTGGTTGAGGCACCATCCCTGGAGGTGTTCAAAAGATGGGTTGACGTGGTGCTGGGGGACATGGCTTAGTGATGGCTTTTTGTCAGAGTTGGGTTGATGGTTGGACTAGATGATCTTGAAGGTCCCTTCCAACCTAGATGATTCTATGATTGTGATCACTATGTGACCTAACTGTTTGGAAGTACCAGGGTTGGGAGCTAGACCTCAGGATCATAGAATCATAGAATGGTTAGGGTTGGAAGGGACCTCAAAGATCATCTAGTTCCAACCCCCAGGATGATAATGGAAGGTACGTTGTGTGCAACGTGTTAAAACACACCTTTTGTGTTTGGCTGAAGGATCAATGCCTCTTCCGAGGTGAGGTCTTGAGAGAGGATGGGGTTGTGGGATCTTCAAGGTGATGCATTAGGAGGGTGGGTGTTCCGCTACCTCCTCCCAGGTGATTGGATGTTGTCCCCAGGGGCCTGGATTTTCACAGGAGGCACTCATTACGGGCTGATGAAGTACATTGGAGAAGTGGTGAGAGACAACACCATCAGTCGGAGCTCGGAGGAGAATGTGGTGGCTATTGGCATAGCAGCCTGGGGCATGATTTCCAACAGAGAAACTCTGGTTCGCAGTGGCGATGATGAAGTAAGAAACGAGTACGGGTTGATGGGGGAACAAAGAGGAGGCTGAGATGTCACTTATGGAGATTATGTCCCTGAGTGACTGCTGCTCGATGCCATCGGCCATGTGATGGCTGAGTTGAGTGGTCAGTCAAGCTCTTGCTTGTAAGCCTGGCAAATCAGACCTCAGCAGAATGCTTTCCAGGGTAATGTTGGTGTAGAAGCACATCTGTCACAGGCTCCCATGAGGTTGGAAGGGACCTCTGGAGATCATCTAGTCCAACCCCCTGCCAAAGCAGGGCCACCCAGAGCAGGTCGAATTACATGAAATTGGAAGGGACCTCTGGAGATCATCTAGTCCAACCCCCTGCCAAAGCAGGGCCACCCAGAGCAGGTCCCGAAGGAACGTGTCCAGGTGGGGTTGGAATGTCTCCAGAGAAGGAGACTCCACCACCTCCCTGGGCAGCCTCTGCCAGGGCTCTGCCACCCTCACAGCAAAGAAGGTCCTCCTCATGTTGAGGTGGAACTTCTTCTATTCAAGTTTGTGCCCATTTCCTCTTGTCCTGTCCCTGGGCACCACTGAAAAAAGATCAGCCCCATCCTCTTGACACTCTCCCTTTAAGTATTGATCAGATCAATCTAAGCATTGATCAGATCCCCCCTCAGCCTTCTCTTCTCCAGACTCAAAAGACCCAAGTCCCTCAGCCTCTCCTCGTAAGGGAGGTGCTCCAGGCCTTATGCTGTGTTCCCTTATGGGCTATCTCCATGGTTTGTTGCTGTTGGGACTACCATGAGCACTGTCTTGAGTCAGGAAATCCAGACTCCTAACTGATGAGGAATAGTTGATGGCTAGGGTTATAGTCGTCACTGGTTTGTCCTTAAAGGCTTGTGCATGCTCTGCCCTTGGATCTGTGTTAAATGCTGTGCTTGTACTTCTAGGGGTACTACTTGGCCCACTACATAATGGATGATCTCAAGAGAGACCCCCTCTATTGCCTGGATAATAATCACACCCACCTCTTACTGGTTGATAACGGCACCCACGGGCACCCCACGATCGAGGCAAAAGTACGAACTCAGCTAGAAAAGTACATTTCCGAGCTGGTCATCCCAGGTAGGTCTCCTTGTCAGCTTGCAGACCTCCTTTTCCTTAGTCCTTGCATGTTTTGGGGCATTCGTGGTGATTTTCTGGCAACAAGAGAGGAGCGGTAGCATCCTCTGGATGCTGAACTGGAGGGGATGTGTTAATTGTGTTGCATCTTGAGCGCCTTCAGGAACAATGGGTCTTCTTCAATATCCCCACTATCTGCAATATCCCTGCCCTCATCTCCTTTCCTGTATGTCACAATGGTCATTTCAGCCACACAACCTTTCCATCCCTTCCTGCTGGCTCTCTGGTGGAAGCTGACCCTTCTATGGACTTTCCACCTGGCACTGAATTCCAGATAGCTGAAGCACAACTACACAGGAGCTGGAATTAGGCTTTTTCCAAAATATTAATTTGTGAGGGTGATTGATCCTTCTGAAACCTGCTCCTAAATAATTTCTTTTTCAGCTCCTTCTTTGAGAAAATGGTAAAAATCAAAAGCCTTGTCAAGAAATTGTTAGTTAGAGAGTTTGAGGGTTTTTTTTTACCGTATACCTCAGCTGAAGTGTACTTGCTGTCATGACAAAAGCATGCAGAATCATCATGAAAAGTGGTATGTTTTGGTATGTAGCTTCTAGATTTTCAGAATTCTTAGCTTTCCTTTACAACTGAAAATGTAAAGTCAGAAGTTCTGAATCTTCAACTTGTGATAAGAACCTTGTACCTAGACTCAGACTGGTCAAGGCAGTAGGTAAATAGAATAAAATCACACATTTTCAGGACTTTGGAGCTACTAAAAATCATGATTGTGAGGAGGAATAAAGCATCTGGAGCAGGTGTCTGCAGAACGTTAGACAAAACTGCATTTTCATTAAAAACAGGAAAAGCTGATAATAGATTTGGCAAAAAGTACAGTAAACTAGTGTCTGCGTGAACGGCTTGAAAATTCTTTCGTTGTACTCAGGCAAAATAAGTTGTTCAAACTGCATTAACGGGTTGAATCTTTTTCCCTTTTTCTTTTGGCACGTTTCACAGAGTCTAATTATGGTGGAAAGATTCCAATTGTGTGTTTTGCCCAAGGTGGAGGGAAGGAGACTTTGAAAGTAAGTTTATTTCTTTTCCTTATTTCTAGGAGCGATAGAAGGGACATTAATATTAAATTTTTTTACTCCACAAGCAACATGATAAAGCTGAAGCTTGCCCAGCACTTGCAATTGCAGTTAAGCTTAGGAAGTTTGTTTTGGGTTAAAACTTTCTGTGCCAAGTTTCTACCTCAGGCTGGCAGCCTGGAAAACTTTTCGCTGGGGCAATTCAGTTGTCTCAGTTCTTCCATAACCAATCACAGAATCACAGAATCTTCTAGGTTGGAAGGGACCTTCAAGATCATCTTGTCCAACCGTCAACCTGACTGACAAAAATAGACACCCACACAACAAACAAGGAGCATCATCACTAAACCAGACCTCCCAGAACTACATCAACCCCTCTTTTGAATACCTCCAGGGATGGTGCCTCAATCCAGCCCCAAAATGTTTGTTTCTTGGGTTTATTTGAGCAACAATCAGAAGAATCTCTGTCAGCCAGGTAGCTCTTGATCCTCTTTATACCAATTTGCCTAAATTCTGGTTTGGGAAAACTTGGCTTGCCCATGCTCAGTGGAGATTGGTGCTTTCTTGTAACACACAGAGAAGATGTGGACCTGTTGAACGGGTCCAGAGGAGGGCCACAAAGATGGTCAAAGGGATGGAGCACCTCTGCTGTGAAGACAGGCTGAGACAGGCTTGTTCAACCTGGAGAAGAGAAGGCTCCAGGGTGACCTTATAGCCCCTTCCAGTATCTGAAGGGAGCTCCAGGAGAGCTGGGGAGGGACTCTTTGTCAGGGAGTGCAGTGACAGGACAAGGGGGAACAGTTTTGAATGGGAAGAGGGGAGATTGAGATGAGATACCAGGAAGAAATTCTTTGCTGTGAGGGTGGTGAGACACTGGAACAGGTTGCCCAGAGAAGCTGTGGCTGCCCCATCCCTGGAGGGGTTCAAGGCCAGGCTGGATGGGGCTTGGAGCAACCTGGTCTGGTGGGAGGTGTCCCTGCCCAGGGCAGGGGGGTTGGAACTGGATGATCTTGAAGGTCCCTTCCAACTCTAACCATTCTATAATTCTATGATTCTATTATAAATTTGATAAAGTTGCTTTGTGATATACTTAAAATGCTGTTATGGGTATATGTTATCACAGGGACAATGTACCCGTGGAGCCTGGAATTGATAGTTAGTCAAATCAAGGCTTTAATAGTGTAATCAAAATACAACTGGAATTATTATTAGTTCACTTATAGCAATGCTGCCACTAATCCATAATCCAAGCTATGAATCCAAGATTTGTTAGAGTTAAAATTATGTTATAGTGTAAATGTCCTTGGTGTTGTGCTCATCCTTCCAGTCTTCCTCTGAATCCCAGAAGGAGCTGGGGAAGGGGCTGGGTTTGCAGGAGGGTCAGATACACTGAAAAGAGTATGTCAGTGTTTGAGTCAGTAACATTGAAGCACAGTGATACCTATAATTATTTTTTGAAGACATGATCTTGGTAGTACCTGTTCTGACCAGAGCTATGCTGTTAATATTGAGGCTAATCAAACTGGTTTGCTTGTCCGGATGACAAACAATGTGAATTCAAAGCACAGTCCCTCTTACCACTTCATTGCTAACATTAATCAATTAGTCTGAACCAATCTGTGAAGTTTCAGGTCGTTATCCCAGCCTCCCTGTATGTTTCCTGGGTGTTTTGGTTCCATTCCTGTGATTAATTTTAACTTTGCCCACAGATAGATAGTAGGAGAACAGGGATGCAGAGCTCAGTGTGTTAACCAGAGGTCCTAAGATGAAATGAAGCATCCATTTAGGTTTTAGAGCAAAGCTTTGCTGAAAATGACATGTTGCCATCCCTTCCTAGCTCCAAATTGCCAATGGTTAAGAGAGGATTTGCCCATGGCTGAAGAATCTGTTTCTTTATGCCATGTGGTGTACTTAGTTGGCCAGCCTGATGGCCACGTGTATTATGTAGAGAGACCTCAAACCCACTGTTAAGAAATGATACATAACACAGACTTACTAGCTACCTAATCAGAATGAATAAAAGCTTTGTTAAATCAAATGCATAATTCATAGCAAGAGGTTCCTCTGCAAAGTATCTGGATGATAGTTCACCTATGGATCCGTGCCAGTCTCTGGGCTGTTAACCAGTGTTACCAGTGCACAAAGACATTCATGTCTTGCCTTCACACTCGTTTGTAGGTGAGGCCATCTTCTCAAGGAGTAAATAGAGTCTCTGATCAGCCTGAAGTGACACAGCAGGTCTCATGCTGTGGACATCTGTCCTTGCCTTGCCTTAGTCTCAATGGCCTTGGCCAGGAAAGATTCTCAGCTTCTGTGACTGGTGCGTGATGACAGGAATCAGCTTTTGCAGAGGAGAAGTAAAACTGTCTCAAGGTTCTGTTTTGAACTCTCTGTGATGTAAAACATGCACTTTAGCTGGACTTTTCTGAAGAAAACCACTTTGATCTAGTTGGCTTTTATCATTGACCCCTTGTCCAATTGGCAGGAGTAATGTGTTCACAACTTTGACCACTCTAATTTTATATTTTTTTTGTTCTTAGGAACCTCTCTCTTCCCATAGCCCATAGGTGCTCTGTCTTTCCACTTGCATTGACTCATTTTGTACAACTCCCTGGCAGACACCTTCTATTCTGGTGACTGTGTTCTCGGTGGTAACGACGCAAATTAAATAATTGGCTTCTCTTGTTGTCTTTGCAACAGGAGGGCGAATGGTCCTTGCATCTTAATTTCAACGTGTCTTTTTTTTTAATATTATTATTTTTTTTTTTCTTTCCAGCAAGCAGTATAGAACCTTGCTGTGTGAGAAATTGTGTAGGTAACTATTGGAGACATTCAATAGCGTTGTGTTGCAATATGCTCATGGTGCTACAGAAGTCATCTCTCTGTAAAAGATTTCTGCTTGCATCTCCAGTGAATAAATCACAGAATCACAGAATCTTCTTGGTTGGAAGGGACCTTAAAGATCATCTTGTCCAACCGTCAACCTAACTGACAAAAATAGACACCCACACAACAAACAAGGAGCATCATCACTAAACCAGACCTCCCAGCACTACATCAACCCGTCTTTTGAACACCTCCAGGGATGGGGCCTCAACCACCTCCCTGGGCAGCCCATTCCAATGCCTGATAACCCTTTCAGTGAAAAAATTTTTCCTAATATCCAGCCTGAACCTCCCCTGGCACAACTTGAGGCCATTTCCTCTCGTCCTGTCGCCTGTGACTTGGGAGAAGAGACCGACCCCCACCTCTCTACACCCTCCTTTCAGGGAGTTGTAGAGAGCAATAAGGTCTCCCCTCAGCCTCCTCTTCTCCAGGCTGAATAACCCCAGCTCCCTCAGCCTCTCCTCATAAGACTTGTGCTCCAGACCCCTCACCATCTTTGTCGCCCTTCTCTGGACCCGCTCCAGCACCTCAATGTCTTTTTTATGGTAGGGGGCCCAAAACTGGACACAGTACTCAAGGTGAGGCCTCACCAGTGCCCAGTACAGGGGGACGATCACCTCTCGGGCCCTACTCCCCACGCTGTTCCTGACCCAGGCCAGGATGCTGTTGGCTTTCTTGGCCACCTGGGCACACTGGCCAGATAAAGCCAGATCCTTTTAACTTGCCTGTGGTGTTACTTGACCGATGTCAAACCCAATGTCTTTAGGCTTTCTTACTGAAGAGTAAGCTCTGGTAGCACAATCATCTTCAAGTGATCACCTCTCCTTTGGCTCCCTAGTCTATCAACCTGGCCATCAAGAGTAAGATTCCCTGTGTTGTGGTGGAAGGCTCCGGGCGGATCGCTGATGTCATTGCTAGCTTGATGGAGGCAGAAGGCACTCTTGCCTCTTCGTGTGTCAAGGAGAGCTTGCTCAGGTACCTGCCTCGAACCATTTCCAGGCTCTCGGAAGAGGAGACTGAAAGCTGGATCAAATGGGTGAGTGAGTGCTACGCTGCGGGGAGCTACCAAGGCTGAAGGTGGGAGAGGGGTAGAGGAAGCAGGAGCAGCTGGTGCCTTCCAAATCAGGGATGATCCTATCTGGCAGTACCTATAAGATGTACAGGGCTCCTCACCATGTCATATCCATGGGGATTTTAGAAAAGAGGCCAGATGTTTTCTAACTGACTGCTCCCTGGGTGCTTGGGATTCCTCTGGATGGCTGGCTCCTAGCTGATGTGCTGCTTGCTGTCACAAGTCCCTTGTGTGCTTTATAAAGGTGGATATTTGATGAATCAGGCTTCACACTCCTAAATCCTGCTGGATTGCTCAGAACAAAGGGTTATCGCTGCTCGCCCATGGACTTTCAAACTGTAGTGATCCTGCTTCAGGGTTCTCTTGTTTGTTCCAAAATTTTTTGTCTTTCTTCCTGCATCCCTTAAGATATTGGGCAGGACAGATTTCTCCTACAGACTAGGAATGGGACCTTTTGGACTAGAGACCTACTTGGTTGGTATTTTTATTTTTTTATTTATTTATTTCACGGAATTGTTGGAGTTGGAAGGGACCTCTAGAGATCATCTGGTCCAACTCCCCTGCCAAAGCAGGGCTGCCCAGAGCACATCACTCAGGAGCATCCAGGTGGGGCTTGAAGATCTCCAGAGAAGGGGACTCCACACCCTCTCTGGGCAGCCTCTGCCAGGGCTCTGCCACCCTCACCCCAAAGAAGTTTTTTCTCATATTTGAATGGAATTTTCTATGTTCCAGCTTGAGCCCGTTGCCCCTTGTCCTATTGCTGGAAACCACTGAAAAGAGTCCGTCTCCAACATCCTTCAGCTCACCCTTTAGATACTTATAAACATAAATAAGGTCTCCCCTCAGTCTTTGCTTGTCCAGGCTAAAGAGCCCCAGCTCTCTCAGCCTTTCCTCATCAGGGAGATGCTCCAATCCCTCCATCATCTCTGTTGCCCTTCGCTGGACTCTCTCCAGCAGTTTCCTGTCTCTCTTGAACTGGGGGGCCCAGAACTGGAGGCAGGATTCCAGTTGTGGCAGTGTCCCTGTGCCACCTCCATTGTGACTCTGTTAGCATTGACATGGGATGCAGTTGAAGGTACCACATTGAACATAGATCAGTAAATTCTTCTTTTGCTTCTCTTTGCCTCCTTGACCAGAGGTAGAACCTTCAGGATGTGGTCACCATTGTGACCCCGTGTGTAACTGTTTATTACAAGAGTGGGTTTTTTTGAGACTGGGGAAACTGGAGAAGTAAGGAGAGCATTTACTACCTTGGGTTGCATGGACCAGTCTCAGAAAACTCTTGTAACTCTCTGATTACCTGACCTTCAGATCAGTTTAAGTTATACTTCTGTTTAAGATGTGTATCTTCTGGTTTAAGATATACTTCTGTTCTTAATAGGGACAGAAGAAAACGGAGCTCCAGAAAAATCTCAATATTCTGCTATTTTTCAGAAGTCTTAGTTCCAGCAACGCCACAGCTCACTGAACAGTCCATTAACTTGAGCTAATTGACTTTCTCAATTAATTGCCCGATGCTTTATCCTGGGGTCTGATTCTGTTTTCCTCTCTCGGTTAATTATCTCCTACCCACGCTCACAGTGGGGAGCAGGGCACTGATTGCATTTTCAAAGCTCAGTCAAGGTTCATCATGAGGGATGGAAATTGTTATATTGCTTCCTGTACACTTAAGGCTCCTTCTCTCAGCTTTCTGCCCTTCCTTCTTTTTTTTTTTAAAGTTTTTTTTCTTTTTAATGAATGTACCTTTGCAAATTGTTTGCAGGCTCTGGACAGGAATTCAAACATTTGAATTTTTGTGTGTATTTTCTTTGATATAAAACAAGCAAAGCTTCTGGTGTTGAAGTTTAAGGAGCTTTTGTTTATGAATGTACCGTTGCAAATTGTTTGCAGGCCCTGGACAGGAATTCAAACATTTGAAATTTTTGTGTGTCTTTTCTTTGATATAAAACGAGCAAAGCATCTGGTGTTGAAGTTTAAGGAGCTTTTGTTTCTGGTAAGGCCTGAGTCAAAACCCTTGGTCAGAGCTTGGCAGAGTGAGTCCATGGGACAACCTGCAAGTTCCAGTAGAAAACCTACTCCACTTGACCCTGTTTTGAGCAGCGGGCTTGGACTAGATCTCCAGAGCTATCTTCCAACCTCATCAATTTTCTTTGATGGAAAATTGATGGAAAAAGAGCAGGGGTAGGGCACGGCCTTTTGCAGAAATGAGTCTGAACTTGTACTTTGAGCCTGGGGGCTTTGGAGTCTGAAACTGAAGAGGAAGAACTTCCCTCTGAGCAGACTGTGAGTCTCTGGTTTCCAGAAGGAGCTCTGCTCTGTGGAGCGTGGAGCTGCTGAAGGCAGGTTTCCCTGGTTGGTCACCTGGCCACACTCTTCACAGTTTCTGCTGAGCTACCTTGGACCATACCTCATCCTTCAGTCAAGAATGGAAAATATTGTTTGTTTTCTGTGTGCCAGAGTGAAAGTAACTTTATAAGGCTTAGTTATGTGAGAAATTATCTCTGCTTTTGTCAAAGCACAAGAAGGTAGATACTCTTCTTCAATAAACGGGTAGATGTTTGTTGAAATTTGTGCTGCCACGATCTGTTTTTTTCTTTTTATGAGTAATTTCTAATTACTGAGATTATATCTTTTTGGTTATGGTGCTCTGCATAGGGGGAATCAGTTATTTGCTATATATTCAGAGGATAATTAATCTTGTACTTGGGTGACTTTAAAATAAATCTCATTATCTACTTCTATCTGGACTTGATTAAATTTTAACTGTATGTGGAAATAGGACTGATGAGAAGCAGCTTTGCTATGATGAGATGGGAAATTTCTTTTAAAGTTGCTCCAGGAGATCAACTACTTAGCAGCCTAGATTGCTTTGAAACGGAACTTTTTCTTTTTGCAGATCAAAGAAGTCCTTGAGAACCCACATTTACTGACAGTTATCAAAATAGAAGAAGCTGGAGATGAAATTGTGAGCAATGCCATTTCTTTTGCTCTGTACAAAGGCAAGTCATTGTTTTTCTGTGTTGGTTTATTTTTTTTTTTAATAGATGTAAAAAGATGGCTATTTATTGTCTAGAGCAGTGCCATCTCTAGAGTTTAAGCTTCTGCCATAGCGTGGAGCTTGTCTTCATCTGCAGTGGTGTGGACAACCTACACTGTGAGATCAGTGGGGGTGAGATCAAAGCTCAGGAAGATATTCTGCAGAGCTTTGAGGATGCTGTGGTGGCATCTCCACAAGTAGCTCACAAGTGTGCAACACAACAGGGAGTCAGTCAGGAGGCCAAGCAAACCCCACTGACTTGCCCCCGTGAGTAATTCAGGACCTCTCTACTACTCCAGCAGAGCAGAACCATCACTGGTGGTTGGGCAGACCCCATCTTCCTCTCTGTGCGCAGAGAAAGCCCATGAACATTACAGCTTCTTATGACACTTCTTGTGTTGGGCCCCATGAGGGATCCTGCAGAATTTCTTCCACGTGGTGTGTACAGGACACTGAGAAGCCTGAAGGAGATGGTGCTGGTTTTGGTTGATGAGGTGCTCCTAGCGGCTCATTTGGACCATAAATATATCTCTAACCCTCCAGCATCCTCTAAAACCCCATTGGAAAGATGCACGTGAGTCTGGGGAAAGACACTTGATAGGGGTCTTGTCATGTAGAGTGTGAAAAGCAGAGATAAATAAGTATGCCATGAAGCTCTCTTGTCTCTGGTCCTTTACCTAGAAGATTGTTCCTCCTCTGCAGCTTTCAGCACCAACGAACATGACAGAGATAACTGGAATGGGCAGCTGAAGCTGCTGCTGGAGTGGAACCAGTTGGACCTGGCCAATGATGAGATCTTCACCAATGACCGAAACTGGGAGGTAGGGACCACTTCTGTCTGAGTACAGGGACATGGGACAGGGGGAGTAGTGGGAAGAGAGCTGTTGTAACAGCAGCCACTGTCTCAGCACCCTCAGCCTCTCTGATGATAAGTAAGAGTGTCTAATCCTCCTTGCACTTTCACCAAAAGGGTTCTCAGCCATTGGAATGGGCTGCCCAGGGAGGTGGTTGAGGCCCCATCCCTGAAGGTGTTCAAAAGACGGGTTGATGTAGTGCTGGGAGGTCTGGTTTAGTGATGATGCTCCTTGTTTGTTGTGTGGGTGTCTATTTTTGTCAGTGAGGTTGACAGTTGGACAAGATGATCTTTAAGGTCCCTTCCAACCTAGAAGATTCTGTGATTCTGTGATCACTGATGGCAAAGGTTATCTGCCCATGCCAGAAGGGCTCTAGGCCATCCAAAAAAAGGCAATTGCATACAGAAGAGTCTGCTTCTGATGAAAATGTGGCAGCGTGAAGGAAAACGTGGCAGTGAGCCAAATGTGCCAGGCCCTTAGGTTTAGATTTAAGATGTCTCACCTGCTCCCTAATATTTGCTTCTCCGTTTCTTCCTAGTCTTCTGACCTGCAGGACGTCATGTTCACAGCCCTTGTGAAAGACAGGCCCAAATTTGTCCGTCTGTTCCTGGAAAACGGGTTGAATTTGAGGAAATTCCTTACCACAGAGGTCCTTAGAGAGCTGTACACGAACAACTTCAGCAGCCTGGTGTTCAAGAACCTGCAGATCGCAAAGAATTCCTACAACGACGCGCTCCTCACCTTTGTGTGGAAGATGGTTGAAGACTTCCGAAGAGGCCTCAAAAGAGATGACAAAAACAGCAAGGATGAGATGGAGATACATCTTGCGGTAAGTGATGAACAGTCTGAGCCCACTGTGTGTCCCTGAAAAGAAAAAATAAAACGAAAATTGTGTTTTGTTTCTGTTATGGCAGGATTTGCTTTAATAGTCTCAGCCGTGCATTACGTTTGACATAACACCCCACTTTACAAATGCATGTAAGGGTTGTTTAGCTACAATAAAAATGGGTGAGTTTATTTGGGTGTTGAGTATGAGACGTAACGCCCCACTTTACAAACGCATGTAAGGGTTGTTTAAGTACAAGAAAAATGGGTGAGTTTATTTGGGTGTTGAGTTAAAATATTTTCTGTTGTAGCAATTAGCACTCTAGTTATGTATCTAATTTATTCCAATATAACTTCAGAGCCTGGTACAGAGTTGGGCATGGAGAATTTGGACTCATATTTTGCAGACTATTGTATCTTAAGCCTTGCTCGCTGTGTCAAGCACCTTCTGGACTTTCATTTCATTTGGAATTTGGACTTTTATATTTTGGTGCAGACTATTGTATCTTGAGCCTTGCTCGCTGCGTCAAGCACCTTCTGGACTTTCATTTCATTTCATTTCATTTCATTTCATTTCATTTCATTTCATTGTCAGGTAGAACCAGACTTCTCAGTTAACCACAGCATGGTTGGTCCAAACACCACATCCAGATGTGAGTTTCAAACCTGGAGCTTAGGCGTGAGATAGGAAACTTTTGAGATCAATTGTTGACCTCAGAGATGCAACGCAACAACACCTGAGACATTTAGGGGAAGCTTGGTTTCCATATGATGCTCAGCTTTAAGGTTTTACACCAAAGCTTGTGGTTCTTAAACGATTTGTTGCTCAGGAGTCATTTTGTGGCGGTTTTGCAATCCCCAGGTGTTAATTGCTTTAATTCAAAGATAATGATGGTGTAGAAAGTCCTCTCTGATTAAGTTTTTGTGAAGTTCAGGGTCTTGCTTAAACACAAAAGGTATATTGGTTACAGTTAGTATGCCTTTTGGTGGATAATCTGTGTCACCAGGTCAAGCTGTGAATGAAGCTATCAGAACTTCGTGGCTTAAAGCAGAAAGTGACTTTGACCCAAATGTCATTTAATAGTCACTTGAGGAAAAAAGAGGGAGGCTGATTCTTCCACACCCAATAGGAAAATAGAAGGCTTTAATAGAAATATAAACTAATTTTAATTAGTGTGTGACAAGTGCCACGTAGGTGAGAGAGAAGGTTGGTGGGCTGTCTGTAAAAGGAATAACATATGAAAACAGGAAAGTTGCAGGCTAGGATTTGTTCCAGTTGCAAACAGTTTTGTGAGCTTAGGTCTGAGGAGTTTGTGTTCTCTCTTCCAGGATGAGTGTCCTATCACAAGGCACCCGTTACAAGCTCTGTTTATTTGGTCAGTTCTTCAGAACAAGAAGGAGTTGTCTAAAGTCATTTGGGAGCAAGTAAGTTGAGTTCTCCTTTATTCCTCTTTGCAAACAGCACAGTGGTGGTCCTCGTGTTCGGTTTGTAGGCTTTTGAAGACTCTGGATCAATCTTCAAACACAAAACCACAAAGAGAATTGCTAGATGGCTCTGTGAGTAGGTTTAATGTTACCCATTTTGTGTTTGGGTGTGGATTTCATACTTTCCTTTTCTAATATCATGTGTTAATCAGCAGTCCAGCTGACATTTACCGATGTTCAAGCTTGGACGCTGAATTCCCACCCATTCCACAATATGGATGTGTTCTGATCTCAGGTGTTTGATTGAAATCCATTTCTAATTTTGATTAGACAGTGCATTTAGTGCTGATTGTATCAAATACATAATTCACAGGCTGCAAATGTGAGGCTAATGCAAGCCAAGCTAATGGATGCTCCTGCTTATGTTGGTCCTTGTGCCTGAAACAAAGTGTTTCTTCCCTGTACGTGTGGATGCACGTTGGTCTGTGTGTCCAAAACATGCCCTACACGTGTGGACATTTTGAATGGAATAAGGTGACATAGTTCAGGCAGTTCAGGGGTATGGTATGATCTGCTGGAGGGTAGAGAGGCTCTGCAGAGGGATCTCGACAGGCTGGATGGATGGGCCGAGGCCAACAGGATGAGGTTTAACAAGGCCAAGTGCCAAGTCCTGCCCTTGGGTCACACCAACCCCCTGCAGCGCTCCAGGCTGGGGGCAGAGTGGCTGGAGCTGCCTGGCAGAAAAGGACCTGGGGGTGTTGGTGGACTGTGGGCTGAACAGGAGCCAGCAGTGTGCCCAGGTGGCCAAGAAGGCCACCAGCATCCTGGCCTGTGTCAGGAACAGCGTGGGGAGTAGGGCCCGAGAGGTGATTGTCCCCCTGTACTGGGCACTGGTGAGGCCTCACCTCGAGTACTGTGTCCAGTTTTGGGCCCCCTACCACAAGAGGGACATGGAGGTGCTGGAGCGGGTCCAGAGAAGGGCAACGAAGCTGGTGAGGGGTCTGGAGCACAAGTCTTATGAGGAGAGGCTGAGGGAGCTGGGGGTGTTCAGCCTGGGGAAGAGGAGGCTGAGGGGAGACCTTCTGGCTCTCTCCAACTCCCTGAAAGGAGGCTGTAGAGAGACAGGGGTCGGTCTCTTCTCCCAAGTTACAGATGATAGGACAAAGGGTAATGGCTTCAAGTTGCGCCAGGGGAAGTTCAGGTTGGATATTAGGAAACATTTCTTTACTGAAAGGGTTATCCAGCATTGGAATGGGCTGCCCAGGGAGGTGGTGGAGTCACCATCCCTGGAGGTATTTAAGAAACGTGTAGACATGGTTCTTCAGGGCATGCTCTAGTGCCCAAGATTACTGGTTTATGGTGGGGTGCTGTGTGGGTGGGTGATGGTTTTTGGTTTGGTGGTTGTCGTTGTGTGTTTAGGTGGTGGGTGGTGGTTTGTGTTTTGTTGGTTTTTTTGTTTTGTTTGGGGTTTTTTTGGCTTTTTTTTTGTTGGTTGGACTCGCAAGTCCTTTAGAATTTTAATAGAAGGGGTCAGGAATTGTTTCCATTCTTGGAACGTGACTTGCTTTAATAATGAGCTCCAGGTCTGATGTGGAGCAATAATTGCATAGTGGTGTTTTTTATTCTGTGCAGAAAAACAAACGGATAACTCTGCTGGTTTTATTCAGCAAATTGTAAGGCAAGATAATTCATTGAATTTGCCTGAAATGCTGCCCAGAAATTCAGCCTGATTTATAAAGAAGCCAAGTGACATCTCGAAAGGAAGCAGAAAGAAAGCTTTATTTAGAAAACTAGATATCCAACATTAAATACTTCCCTTTAATGTCAAAACGTGTTTTTTACTGCTTGGAAATCTTTTCCACACCATCTGTTCCCAGTAGAAACTGTGTCCTGTCTAAACAGTTTGCTTCCAAAGGGGGATGGGGGATGGGAGTGGTTTGTAGAGATTTTCTTTCATTGGGAAGAAAAGCCACCTTAGCTCTAGTGGCAAGGCTGAAGAAGGGTGCTCAGAAATAGCAAGAACAGAGAATAAGAGAAGATTTCTGCATGAGTCCTGGTAACATCTGAGTTGAGAAGAGCCATCCTTCAAATTTGGAGCAGTACTTTTGGGGACTCAGAATAAATTGTAGCTAAAAGCAGGTTAAAATCCTTAATTCTGAAATGCAAAATGACATAACCTTCCTTATTCTAAGGGGATAAGCAATACACTCGCTCCTTGAGAATGCAGATCTAGTTCAGGTTTTCTTCTTTCTTCTTTCCTATGACCTTTAGTTTCTCCATTTGCAATGGTTGTCAGTGACTCAGAATTGAGCCCTGCATCTCATGGGCTGGAGTGACCAATAATTTCTTATTTAATGAGGATAATGCGTGACAGGAGAGCTGGGGAATGTTCTTTTTTGAAGGACTTCCATTTCAGGAGCAATCATGCTAACGTTTCCTTAGCACCTAGTTATCCTGCAAATTGTTCAGGGAATCATGCAAGTGAAGGCCAGCACTGTTGGCAGATACTGAAAATAGCAAGAACAGAGAATAAGAGAAGCTTTCTGCAGGAGTGCTGGTAACATCCGAGTTGAGAAGAGCCATCCTTCAAATTTGGAGCAGTACTTTTGGGGACTGAGAATAAATTGTAGCTAAAAGCAGGTTAAAATCCTAAATTCTGAAATACAAAATGACATAACCTTCCTTATTCTAAGGGGATAAGCAATACACTCGCTCCTTGAGAATGCAGATCTAGTTCAGGTTTTCTTCTTTCCTATGACCTTTAGTTTCTCCGTTTGCAATGATTGTCAGTGACTCAGAATTGAGCCCTGCATCTCATGGGCTGGAGTGACCAGTAATTTCTTATTTAATGAGGATGATGCGTGACAGGAGAGCTGGGGAACGTTCTTTTTTGAAGAACTTCCATTTCAGGAGCAATTGTTTCCTTAGCACCTAGTTATCCTGCAAATTATTCAGGGAAACATGCAAGTGAAGGCCAGCACCATTTGTAGCACCCAAACTGAAGCTTACCTGTGGTGAACCTTGGTTCCTCAACTTGGAAGGAAATACATTACAGTGTTGCTTCTGGGGCTTTATTGCAGGTTTTGGCCTTGTTCTCTTGCCTGGTGCAGAAAATAGTGGGTCTGTAGCTGCATTGCTACCCAACAATTTGCTGTCATCACCATAAATCAGATTAAGTGACAGTTAGGGTGTAATAGCCCTGCAGGTTGAATAGGGAGCCATAGAAATGTTGGTGGAAAGGGCTTTTGGAGGCCACTAGTCTTCTCATTGAGGTGGTGTTACCACCAGGACTAAATCAGTTCAGTCACAACTTCATTTAGCCAAATCTTGAAGATCTCTACAGGTTAGATATTGTTTTATTGCTCCTTAAATCAGACCATGTTTGTTCCTTTTTTGGGATTCATGGAGACTAGATTGACCTCAGCCATTGGAATGGGCTGCCCAGGGAGGTGGTTGAGGCCCCATCCCTGGAGGTGTTCAAAAGACAGGTTGATGTAGTGCTGGGAGGTCTGGTTTAGTGATGGTGTTGCTTTTTTTTGTTGTGTGGGTGTCTATTTTTGTCAGTGAGGTTGACGGTTGGACAAGATGATCTTGAAGGTCCCTTCCAACCTAGAAGATTCTGTGATTCTGTGGCCTGTTGAACTGAAGCCTTATTTTTCTTTGTGTGTATATCAGTAAAGCTATTTCACTGCCCATTAAGGATACACGAAAAATATCTTGCTAGCAGAAAGTCCTCCTACTTCGTAAGGTGCAAACTGCTTAAATAGACTTTCTCAAAGGTATCTATACCCCTCAGACCTGATTATTTAGGAACCTCAGACCTTTATTATTTAGGAACCTCTTCTGTTCCAACTTGTGCCCGTTGCCCCTCGTCCTCTCACTGGGAACCACTGAAAAGAGTCTGGTTCCCTCCTCCCTCAACCCACTGTTGAGATACTTGTAGGCATTAATAAGGTCTCCCCTCAGCCTTCTCTTCTCCAGACTAAAGAGTCCCAGCTCTCTCAGCCTCTCCTCATCAGGGAGATGCTCCAATCCTTGAATCATCTTTGTTGCCCTACGCTGGACTCTCTCCAGCAGTTCCCTGTCCCTCTTGAACTGGGGAGCCCAGAACTGGAGGCAGGATTGCAGTTGTGGCCTCCCCAGTGCAGAGCAGAGGGGGAGAATGACCTCCCTTGACCTGCTGGCCACACTCTTCCCTATGCAACCCAGGATTCCGTTGGCCTCTTGGCCACAAGAGCACACTGTTTGCTCATTGTCATTTTGTTGTCCACCAGGACCCCCAGATCCTTTTCTTCAGAGCTTGTCTCCAGCAGGTCCACCCCTAACCTGTACTGGTACCTGACATTCTTCTTCCCCAGGTGCAGGACCCTACACTTTACCCTGTTGAACCTCATGAGGTTCTTCCTTGCCCAGTTCTCCAGCCTGTCCAGATCTCGCTGGATGGCAGCACGGCCCTCTGGGGTGTCAGCCACCCCTCCCAGTTTGGTATCATCAGCAAACTTGCTGAGGATACACTCTGTCCCCTCATCCAGGTCACTGATGAATATATTGAAGAGCATTATGGGCAGAATAAGGTGCTCCTAACTCTTCTAAAGCATCTATGTTTGCAACGCGTTCCCTGGTGAAAAAGCATCAGATTCTGCCCTTGTTGGTCAACTCTGCTGTTCATATGGGACTGTTGTGACTAAGTCATTAGATCAGTGCTGAATGAGTGAAAAGAAGATGAAACAAGCAGATACACTGAGTCATTTGAGTAAAAGTTCACAGAATCACAGAATCTTCTAGGTTGGAAGGGACCTTCAAGATCATCTTGTCCAACCGTCAACCTCACTGACAAAAATAGACACCCACACAACAAACAAGGAGCATCATCACTAAACCAGACCTCCCAGCACTACATCAACCTGTCTTTTGAGCACCTCCAGGGATGGGGCCTCAACCCCCTCCCTGGGCAGCCCATTCCAAGGGCTGAGAACCCTTTCAGGGAAAACATTTTTCCTAATATCCAGCCTGAACCTCCCCTGGTGCAACTTGAGGCCATTTCCTCTTGTCCTGTCACCTGTGACTTGAGAGAAGAGACCGCCCCCCACCTCTCTACCCCCTCCTTTCAGGGAGTTGGAGAGAGCAATAAGGTCTCCCCTCAGCCTCCTCTTCTCCAGGCTGAATAACCCCAGCTCCCTCAGCCTCTCCTCATAAGACTTATTCTCCAGACCCCTCACCAGCTTCGTTGCCCTTCTCCGGACCCGCTCCAGCACCTCAATGTCTTTTTTATGGTAGGGGGCCCAAAACTGGACACAGTACTCAAGGTGAGGCCTCACCAGTGCCCAGTACAGGGGGACAATCACCTCTCGGGCCCTACTCCCCACGCTGTCCCTGTTGGCTTTCTTGGCCACCTGGGCACACTGCTGGCTCCTGTTCAGCCCACAGTCCACCAACACCCCCAGGTCCTTTTCTGCCGGGCAGCTCCAGCCACTCTGCCCCCAGCCTGGAGCGCTGCAGGGGGTTGGTGTGACCCAAGGGCAGGACTTGGCACTTGGCCTTGTGCAGAACCCAACTTAATGCTATCTCTGGGTGAGCTGATTTAATATTCCAGTTTTCATCCAGACATGAGTTCTGTACGAAAGCTTAATGAGGTTGTAAAGCAAAAAACATAGAGTATCTGTGTGCTTTAATATTATAAATGTTAGACTTTGGAATTCACTGAAGACAACTGCACCCAGGTTGGTGGGAAATGGAGTCTGAAGTCCAGAGAAGGGCAACAAAGCTGGTGAGGGGTCTGGAGAATAAGTCTTATGAGGAGAGGCTGAGGGAGCTGGGGGTGTTCAGCCTGGAGAAGAGGAGGCTGAGGGGAGACCTTATTGCTCTCTACAACTCCCTGAAAGGAGGGTGTAGAGAGGTGGGGGTCGGTCTCTTTTCTCAAGTCACAGGCGACAGGACAAGAGGAAATGGCCTCACGTTGCGCCAGGGGAGGTTCAGGCTGGATATTAGGAAAAATTTTTTCCCTGAAAGGGTTATCAGGCATTGGAATGGGCTGCCCAGGGAGGTGGTTGAGGCCCCATCCCTGGAGGTGTTCAAAAGCCGGGTTGATGTAGTGCTGGGAGGTCTGGTTTAGTGATGATGCTCCTTGTTTGTTGTGTGGGTGTCTATTTTTGTCAGTTAGGTTGACGGTTGGACAAGATGATCTTGAAGGTCCCTTCCAACCTAGAAGATTCTGTGATTCTGTGATTCTGTGAAGTTGGAGCTCAGTGTGGGGCTGCCTTTTTCTTCCAGAGCTTTTCACCGAGTGCTACAGCAACGATGAAGACCTAGCTGAGCAGCTGCTGACCTACTCCTGTGAAGCCTGGGGAGGGAGCAATTGTCTGGAACTGGCCGTGGAAGCTAAAGACCAGCAGTTCATCGCTCAGCCAGGGGTGCAGGTAACACCAGTGGAAAGGTGATGCAGGGATTGGTGTCACTCGTGGGATCTGGGCAGCTTAGAAATTAATATCATTGCTGTGAAAATGCTACATCCACATGAAGAGCCTGGGAAGGACCAATACTCAGTGTCCCCATGGAAGTGAGAGCCTCTGGGTGAGGCTAGGTGATAAAGCTAGATGATAAAGACTGCCTGAAGTGGCTTCTCCCTTGGCACATGCACAGTGTGGAGGTACTGCCCAGCATAAAGTACCTTCTAAATCAGGCCAAGTCCTGTTTGGTCTCATTTTGAACTCCTTGTCAGGTAGACTGGAGGATTGTTGGACTAAGGACCCAGCACACTGGTACTAATGCAGAAAGCTTTCTGTATTTTTGAAACAGTAATTTTGATTGAAATCTCACAGTTTGGGCTATTTTTTTCTTACTAAATCAAATATCCTGTAATAGCTTTCCTAGGTTATTTTGTTGCTGTTAGAACAAATGAGGATATTTTCTTCTTCCCTGCAGAATTTCCTTTCCAAGCAGTGGTATGGAGAGATTTCAAGAGATACTAAGAACTGGAAGATTATACTGTGTCTGTTCTTCTTCCCTTTGATAGGCTGTGGTTTCATCTCATTCAGGTAATCAACTGGGTTCTCATTAGCAGAAGCAAAGCAAGTCAACTACTCATAGAATCATAGGGCGGGCAATTCAGGCCAGAAGGGACCTCTGGAGATCATCCAGTCCAACCTCCAGCTCAAAGCATGGTCAGCTAGAACAGGTTACCCAGTACTGTGTCCAGTTGGGTTTTGAGGATCTCCAAGGATGGAGGTTCCATAGCCACTCAGGGGAACCTGTTCCAGTGTTCAGTCACTCTCAAATAAAGATATTTAATGGCTGAATGAGCTTATGACAGAGTGTGTCCTCGCTCTGGTCTGGAGTTAAGGTGTGCCAATTGTGTGTCTGAAGTCAGTGGATGCAGAAGGGCATCACCTTCAAAGTAATGCCCTGTGCTAGACTGCACCTGTTTCATTTTCACTTTAATGAAGAGCACAAACATTTCTGCTCTGCACTCGTGAGACCCCTCTACTCTGCACTCGTGAGACCCCACCTGGAGCACTGTGTCCAGCTGTGGAGTCCTCAACACAGAAAGGACATGGACCTGTTGGAACGGGTCCAGCGGAGGGCCACCAAGATGCTCAGAGGGATGGAGCACCTCTGCTGTGAAGACAGGCTGAGGGAGCTGGGATTGTCCAGCCTGGAGAAGAGAAGGCTCCGGGGAGACCTTATAGCGGCCTTTCAATACCTGAAGGGAGCCTGTAGAAGAGCTGGAGAAGGACTCTTTGCCAGGAGGTGTAATGATAGGACAAGGGGAAACAGTTTTAAATTGGAAGAAAAAAGATTCAGATTAGATCTCAGGAAGAAATTCTTTGCTGTGAGGGTGGTGAGACACTGGACCAGGTTGCCCAGAGAAGCTGTGGCTGCCCCATCCCTGGAGGGGTTCAAGGCCAGGCTGGATGGGGCTTGGAGCAACCTGGTCTGGTGGGAGGTGTCCCTGCCCAGGGCAGGGAGTTGGAACGGGATGTTCTTTAAGGTCCCTTCCAACCCAAACCATTCTGTGATTCTATGATTCTAGGTATAAAAGCTATCCCTTGAGACCTTTTCCCTCTTCTAAATAAAAGCTATCCCTTGAGACCTTTTCCCTCTTCTAATTCCTCAGGAAAAAACCTGTGGAGAAGAGCAAGAAGCTCTTCTTGTATTACGTGTCTTTCTTCACCTCCCCCTTTGTGGTCTTCTCCTGGAATGTCATCTTCTACATCGCTTTCCTGTTGCTCTTCGCCTACGTGCTGCTGATGGATTTCCAGAAGGAACCTACCGTCCTGGAGATCATCCTTTACGTGCTGGTCTTCATTCTACTTTGTGATGAAGTGAGACAAGTAGGCAGCGTTTGCAAACCAAAAAAAAATGCTTAGTGCTAGATGAAAAGCCTGGTGGGGACCCTCCTGGTAGCATAGGGCAGGGCAGGCTGCTTTGGGGCTACAGGGGGGAACCACTTCTGGGGAGATATGTCAGGCAACTCAAGGCACAATGAATTATTCCCCCCCAATAGTGTCCCTGCACCCAGTGGAATGTGTATTGACCTTGAACCTGGGTGGAGAAAGCAATGCCAGTGGAGATATGTCTCAGGGATGCTTGGCTTGGATTGCCAAAGTGGTTGAGGGTAGGAGGTCAGATTTAACCCATTTATCTGGTTGCATTCCTCTAGATCAAGTGATTCCTGTATCTCTTCTCCACATCCTACCCCTCCCTTTTCTTTTTTGAGCAATATCATTACAGATTTCTGTTTACCTTTTAATCATAAATACAATTTTTGATAGTTTCATGTAGTCCCAAGGACCTGCGTTGCTTGTGCTGGTGCGGTGTGGGGCTGCCTTCATAGCTTGGTTGATGCTCTTCTCACTTCATATCTAAGGGGGCATCTGAAATCCGTTGATTTTCAGGTGGGCTGATCTTTATCAGTCAGTGTTCAGAGCAGTGGGAAGAAGCTGGGGGAGAAGAGGGGGAGAAATGGGTGTGCAGTTTGAGCGTGGTGCTGCTTTCTGGTTGCTCTGGAAGGCATCGGTCTCCACGTTGACTTTTTTGGGGGTGATCTGTTGGGTGAGAGCACCCTGGCAGGAATGTTTCGTACGTGAGCTCGAACGACGTGGCTGAATGTTGCTGTTACTGTGCTTAACTTGCTGTGTGATCTTTTTTTTTCTTTTCAATAGCCAAGGTGGTACCCTGTTTAAGGCAACTTTACTTGCTAAGGAAAATGGGGTGAAAAGCAAAAGACTCTGTTGCAACGAAAACGCTAATGGAGTGTGTGTTTCTGCTGATTTAGGTTCTGGTGTCTCTGGACCTGTCCTTGTACTTCCTGTGTGTACCCAGCAAAAGTCCTGGGGAAAGCCTTAGGGATAGAAACCCTTTTTTTCCTCCCAATGTCACTATTTCTCACTATCCTGAGCAGACAGAACAGCTTCAAATCCCAGTAATCCCATTATTAGCTGGTAGCCATACCAGCTTGATCGTGCCAGTGGAGGCAGCTAAAACAGAGACTTTATTTAAGATTTAAAATTATCTTAAATCACTGTCCTGGCTCCAAACCTATTTTGCTAAGGAGCAGAATGCAGAACAGTGTCCCAGTCACCTAAGCTCTTAAATCACTGTCCTGGCTTCAAACCTATTTTGCTAAGGAGAATGCAGAACAGTGTCCCAGTCACCTAAGCTTCTCAGAAAACTGTCTCCCTGGCTTCCTCCAAGGAGAGGGATGTCTCACATTTTGTTTTCACGTCAAAGGAAAAGTAAGAATAGTGTTCCCTGGGGTCCCACTGTAGCTGCTGCAGTCAAATAACTAGTTTTGGGGAAAAATCAGCCCTCTGGGGCATCTGTGGAAGTGCCAGCTCCTAGACATTGCTCCAAATTTAAAGCAGATCGTTTCCCTGTTCAGGAGAACTGAACCATAAGCCACAGGCTCAGCCCTGTTTTCACTTCTGATGGTCCTAGAGATTTTTTTCACTAGCCAGAGCTGCTTTCTCATATCCCCCTTAGAGCTTATCATGGCAATAGTGAAATTGGAGATGCCTTTTTCCTGCTATCTTCTTAGCCACATGGATGTAGCCTCCAGCCAGGTGAGTGGGTAGACTTGTGGGGTGTGCAGGAAAGCTGGAGAAGGAACCTGGACAGAACCTTGGTGCACTCTCAGCAGTGGAAAACTGCTTGATATTTGAAGGACTGAACTGCACCCCAGACGTGGTTGTTCTCACTTGTTTATACACATCTGCCTGTTTTCTCTCCGTTCAGACCAAAGCCTGGTCCTTTCCTCCATCCACAGTTATTGTGCCCTTAATAGAAGAGGCATCAGGCTTAAAACCTCTGCTACATTCTACAGCTGTAGTGCAGTGATATGCTTATTGTTTTGTGAAAGATGTTTGGATCTAGCTGTCCACATAAAACACCACTCACTGTCATGTACAGACAACTTATGTTTGATTTAGGGAGTTACCAGGCAAAGGTGGGTGTCAGATGTTCTGTCCCCACTCAATGCTCGACCTTTTGTACCTTCAGTAGTAAGAAAGGTGTGTGTAGGACCCAAAATGCTGAAGGCAATATTTGAGCCTGACACCCTGGTGGCTGCCACAACTGTCCATCTTTAGCAATGTATCCCATCCCATGGAGAAATTGGAATGATTGTGCCACTGGAATAGCAAAGTGGATCTCTCTTCTTCATAGAATCACAGAATATTCATGGTTGGAAGGGACCTTTGAGATCATCGAGTCCAACCACACACACACAAAAAAACCCCCAAATATCCACAAAAACCTCCCCACACCCCACTCACCCTCAGACAGACACAACCCAACAATCTTGGGCCCTAGAGCATGCCCTGAAGTGCCACCTCTACACGTTTCTTAAATCCCTCCAGGGATGGGGACTCCACCACCTCCCTGGGCAGGCCCTTCCAGGGCCTGACCACCCTCTCAGGAAAGTCATTCTTCCCAATATCTAATCTAAACCTCCCCTGCCCCAACTTCAGACCATTTCCTCTGCTCCTGTCACTATTCCCTTGGAAGAAGAGGCCAACCCCCACCTCTCTCCACCCTCCTTTCAGGGAGTTGTAGAGGGCAAAGAGGTCTCCCCTCAGCCTCCTCTTCTCCAAACTAAACATGCTCAGATTTTCTTCTTCATTTAGAAGAAAACTCCCCTCAATCTCTGTTTCCCCTAAAAGTTCTGAGACCAGAATTGCCTTCCTTGGATAAGCCAGTTAAAGAGAGATTCACCAATCAGTACTCCACTAAGATTTGATTCTTTCAATGAAAATTAAAAAGAATTATGATCAGGGACTCAATCTATTTCTTCATGCCTGGCAGAGGTTTCTCCTGGTTAAGCTGCTTGTTCTAATGATTCACCTCTGGGTTGGATCCAGAAGTTGGTTCTTGCAGGAACTTTGGATCCAGGGCGCAGTACCAATCTGGGAACGAGCAAAGCTTCTCACTAGACTTGCAATTCAGAAATAGAGCACCAGGTAATTACAAGAATAAATTAAATCTCCATCTTTGATCAAAAGCCTGTGCGTGTAGCCATGGACAGATTACTCTGTGAAGAGAGAGAAGCCAGAACACTTCAACTGCCCCAAAACAGTGACCCTCCTGCTCTCCCCCTGGTGTTTCACCTGCTCTTGGTGGGTCTCACCGAGGTTCCTCTGGCCCGTTGGGCAGTGGTTCTCCTGGAGCACACGGTGACCTACCCTGAGGTACCCTGGCAGCATGTGTATACACTCGTGAGCACTAAGTACATCCATCCCAGCTCTGGGCAGGGCTGGTCTTCTCCACGCACCAGCACCTGCGTGGTGGGGTTGTGTCCTTTGAGCACAGGAACCCCGTTCTGCGGTGCAGTGGTTGGGTCACCCTGCAATGAACTGGTCCCAGTGCAAGAGCAGTAGCTTAGGACCTCTGGGCTGCAAGAGAAAACGTGTTAAGGAGCTCTCAAGATAGAACATCTCGACCTATTAGGTAAAAACACGTTGCCAGTAATTTCTGGCATTGCTGGATATTGCTGAATTGGTCTCAGTGCAAGAGCAGTAGCTTAGGACCTCTGGGCTGCAGGAGAAAACGTGTTAAGGAGCTCTCAAGATAGAACATCTCGACCTATTAGGTAAAAACACGTTGCCAGTAATTTCTGGCATTGCTGGATATCTTAAAAAACACTCTTTTGGGGGAAATTAAAAGCTATCTGAACTCTGGTGTATCTATTAAGTGTGATAAAAAAATTAGCTGGGCAAGGAAACAATCTTTACTATTGCAGTGGGTGGAATATTTACCAGGAGGACAGTCGGTGGGGTGAGGTGAGGGGAGGGTGGATGAGCTCTTGGTGTTACTGGCCAGTGCTGTGTGGGGGTTACTTTCTGCTCCTTTTTTTCTCCTCCCCAGTGGTACATGAATGGCAGTAAGTATTTCTCAGATCTGTGGAACGTTATGGATACGCTAGCCATCTTCTACTTCATAGCAGGGATTGTCTTCAGGTAAGTGGTACCTTTTCTTCTGGCTGTGGTGTGGCTTAGCTTCATTTCTGGGTTTGGGCTACAACCTGTAAGGAGATTTTTGGGAAACGACATGATCTGGAAACTCCCTGTTCTTTATGAAGGCCCCAAATATTGCCAAGTCCTGACTTTAAATCTGTAAAAGCAAAGAAAGAAAATTAAAGTGATTAAGGGACATCTGCATGCAATATTTTCTTTTTTTTTTTTTTTTGTTTGTTTAATGGAAGTTGAGTCTCCCTGTGGAGTGGAAGGTGGCTTTCCTAAGCTCAGATCTTTCTGGGCCAGCAGGGCAGTCCTTCTAGACTAGGTTTGGGTGAGTATGTTTAGAAGATGACTGAAATAGGCTTAGGTATCATGACTTCAAGAGCCTTATAGCTTTCAAAACTGGCTGTGGTGGCTTTCCTAAGCTCAGATCTTTCTGGGCCAGCAGGGTAGTCCTTCTTAATGCCTAAATTTGGGTGAGTATGATTAGAAGATGACTGAAATGGGTTTAGGTATCATGACTTCAAGAGCCTTATAGCTTTCAAAACTGGCTGTGGTGGCTTTCCTAAGCTCAGATCTTTCTGGGCCAGCAGGGTAGTCCTTCTTAATGCCTAAATTTGGGTGAGTATGATTAGAAGATGACTGAAATGGGTTTAGGTATCATGACTTCAAGAGCCTTATAGCCTTCAAGACTGGCTGTATAGAACCTATCAGGCAAAGTTGCAGGGTGAGATTGTTAATAGCTTAGAGACTTCTAAGTTCTTTGGGATTTTCCCTGGAAAAATTCACTATTCACTATTATTCACTATTCTCTACTTGCTATGGCAATCTGGACTCTTTGAGCTACAGTGTGATTATATTTATATATATATAAAGATATCTATAATAATATATATAAAAATAATTATAATAATTACATATATAATTATATAATCATATATATAATTATATAATTGTATATTTTATATTATATTTTTATATATATATTTATTATATTATATTTAAGGGGGCTGTGATTGTACCTCCAATAGTCTAAGAGAATGTCGTTAGCCCACATAAGCTGTTTTACTTGAATGGCTGAGTTTGCAACCACGCCAAAGAAATGCTGGAAACCCATTGTACTGGGCTGTTGGGAGAGGGTTTGGGGCCCTGGGTTGCAAGTGCTGTGTTTTCCAGTTACTTCCCACTCCCCACTTCAGTGTTTCGGTGTATTTTTACCTGATTTCTGCGTGCTTTACCCAATGCTTCTCTACATTTTCTTTTACTCTCTCCATCAGGCTTCACTCATCTGATGAAAGCTCTTGGTATTCTGGGAGAGTCATCTTCTGTTTGGACTACATAGTTTTTACGCTGAGGCTGATCCATATTTTCACAGTTAGCAGGAATCTAGGACCCAAAATTATTATGCTGCAGAGGATGGTAAGATTTTGGCAGCTATTCAAGAGCCTCTAAATAAATGATGTGACACCTTTTTTTCCCCCCCCTCAAGAGTGAAAAACACCACTGTTTTGATGATGGCAGCAAGTTCTCTCCTTAAATCTGCTAAACAGGATTAATTAAGGTTTAAATAGGACCTAATTAAGAGCAGGGCCTTTCTCTTTTCCTCTGCACAGGGAGAGAGAATAGAGATCAGGCTGAAGAGGAAAAATTATTTCCAGGTGGCTTTTGTCTTGCACGTCTCAGGTGTTTCAGTGGTAGATTCCATCACTCTTGTTGCTCACATGAGCCTTCCCCAAATGAGACGATGATAGATGGTATAGGAGGAGGAGGATCCCACCTGGAGCACTGTGTCCAGCTTTGGAGTCCTCAACACAGGAAGGACATGGACTTGTTGGAACAGGTCCAACGGAGGGCCACCAAGATGATGAGAGGGATGGAGCACCTCTGCTGTGAGGACAGGCTGAGGGAGCTGGGGTTGTTCAGCCTGGAGAAGAGAAGGCTCCGGGGAGACCTTATAGCGGCCTTTCAATACCTGAAGGGGCCTATAGAAGAGCTGGGGAGGGACTCTTTGCCAGGAAGGGTAATGATAGGACAAGGGGAAACGGTTTTAAATTGGAAGAAAAAAGATTCAGATTAGATCTCAGGAAGAAATTTTTTACTCTGAGGGTGGTGAGACCCTGGAAGAGGTTGCCCAGAGAAGCTGTGGCTGCCCCATCCCTGGAGGGGTTCAAGGCCAGGCTGGATGGGGCTTGGAGCAACCTGGTCTGGTGGGAGGTGTCCCTGCCCAGGGCAGGGGGTTGGAACTGGATGATCTTTGAGGTCCCTTCCAACCCAAACCATTCTATGATTCTATGATTTCTGTCTTCCACTGCATCCATCACACAAGTGACTGGAGAAGGAGGTGGTGAGGAGCCTCTCATGGGGTGGCTGGGCTCATTCTGTCCTTTGTAGCTGGAGGGGATGTTTGCTAGCAGACTGGGGATGGCAATAGGAAGACAGTGGGATTCTATATCCTACAGATGGGGATTGCTGTAGGTGTGGGCATGAGGAGCACTGGAGAGCCTGGAGTAGGTGTGCTTGGATTTGTGCCTGTCACCTGGGGCTGATCTTGTATATAGAATTTAAAAAAACCAACTGTGTAGTGCTGGGAGGGATGGTTTAGTGATGATGCTCCTTGTTTGTTGTGTGGGTGTCTATTTTTGTCAGTGAGGTTGACGGTTGGACAAGATGATCTTTAAGGTCGCTTCCAACCTAGACGATTCTGTGATTCTGTGACAATGGGAGTAACGGCGTGGTCTGCAGCTTACCCTGAAAGCCTTTCTTTTCCATGTACTACTGCTGCAAAGCTGGAGTCTGGACATCACTTGGTCCTAGAGTGCCTTGTGATATGGAAGCAACAACACAGGATCTGCAGCTTACCCCAAAAGCCTTTCTTTTGCCATGTACCACTGCTGCAAAGCTGGAGTCTGGACATCACTTGGTCCTAGAGTGCCTTGTGATATGGAAGCAACAACACAGGATTGTTTCCCTTACATCTTTCTCTTTTTTGGCCTCCTTCAAAAGGGATGAGTTTTGAGTTTTGACTACTAATAAAAACGCTTGGGGCTAGTGGAAGGACAGATCTTGGTGGAGGTGGGTCTGCAACAAATGGAGCAGCTCAGCTGGGATATGGACTAGTCTTTGGTTATCTGTATATTGTTAAGAGCTAGACATTCATGAAACTGTTAGCCAGAGTGTCTAGACTCTAAATTCTGGTTTGAAGTCACCTAAGAGTGGCATTTTCAGAAGTGATGACTGCTTTCATCTCGCATTTAGCTACAGGGGCTGCAGCTGCAGTTGTTGCATAAATAGTCTTTGTAGGTGGAACTTGCTTTTGTGGGTGGGTGGAGCCTGTCTGGTGCCAGGGGGATATCTTAAATTCTGAAATGTGCCTTGGTTTTATGGCTGTGTAAACATTTTTGAAGTTCCCCGAGTGGAAATTGTCCATTATTTGTGTGTGTGTGTGTGTGTTAGGGACTGTAAATCTGAAAACTTGCATTAAAAGGTGCTAACTTTTGTGAGCTTTTCTAATATTTGTTCTCCACCCTAATTTCAAATCAGGGAGAAAAGAAGCCATGGGTGGCTTGCAACAGGCACACAGTTGGGGTACTGACGCATCTGCTTGTTGTCCTTTTTCAGATGATAGATGTCTTCTTCTTCCTCTTCCTCTTCGCTGTGTGGATGGTGGCCTTTGGTGTGGCCAGGCAAGGCATCCTGAGAAAGAATGAGCACCGCTGGGAGTGGATATTTCGGTCTGTCATCTATGAGCCATACCTGGCTATGTTTGGCCAGTACCCTGATGACGTTGATGGTACCTATTCTCTGTGGGATGCTCTCCTGGGTGGGTGGAAGGCTTTATCCTTTCAGTAGTTGTCCATTCCTGTGTTGACCCCTTTCCTCCAAGCGGCAACAACGCAAGGTTTTTACGTCTCATGGGGAGGTGAGGAAGGAGGAGACCACTTGTGGTCAGTAGCAGTGCTCAACAGGGGCTGTACTCAACAGAAAGAGGGGGAGAGGGCTCACTGGTTGTTCTCTGCTCTTGCCTTCTGAGGTACCACCTACAACTTTGACCGCTGCACCTTTTCGGGGAATGAGTCCAAGCCTTTATGTGTGGAGCTGGATGCCAACAACCAACCCCGCTTCCCCGAGTGGATCACCATTCCCCTTGTCTGTATTTACATGCTCTCAACTAACATCCTCCTTGTCAACCTGCTGGTGGCCATGTTTGGGTACGTAATAGATCAATAACCCTCTGAGAGTGGGAATGAAATCTTGGAAAACGGGGTGAAGTCAAGCCTTGGAGTCTGCTTGGAACTTTTGCAGAGGAGTAGCTGGGAGTAACGTGGACAGAGTTCCCAGCTTGTAAGAGACCTCCCAGTTGAAGGGTAGTGTGGGGAGGTGAATGTAGGCAAGTGGGAGGTCTGGTTTAGTGATGATGCTCCTTGTTTGTTGTGTGGGTGTCTATTTTTGTCAGTCAGGTTGACGGTTGGACAAGATGATCTTGAAGGTCCCTTCCAACCTAGAAGATTCTGTGATTCTGTGTTATTCAGCATTTCTCACAGCAGTCTGATTAAAAGTGGTACAACGTGCTGGGGATGGATGGGTTGCTGCCTGTCCTTCTACTACTTCTCTCAGAACCCTTTCCACAGTGAGCAAGCCCCCGTTGTTCCCACAGGGGATGATAGCTGGTTGCTTTACCAAGTAGGAGTTGCTCTACCGTTGACCTCACAAGACATGAGTTCCTCTCACAGTCTGGTTTTACTAACCAGAACTGCTGTGGGGTGATGATGTGTGGGTTACTGCTCTAGTGGACCTGCTGTTTATTGTTCTGCCTTACACCACAGACAGATGGGCAGCATCTCCTTGGGACATCTTGTCTTGAAAAATGCCACCGCCTCTGTTTTCAGATGGTAATTTATCTGTCTGGGGCTCTACCAGTCAGGAGGTCTCTTCTGGTATCTTGTGAAGTGTTAGACCATGCAGATGGAGTACTGTGTCCAGTTTTGGGCCCCCTACCATAAAAAAGACATTGAGGTGCTGGAGCGGGTCCAGAGAAGGGCGACAAAGCTGGTGAGGGGTCTGGAGAATAAGTCTTATGAGGAGAGGCTGAGGGAGCTGGGGGGGTTCAGCCTGGAGAAGAGGAGGCTGAGGGGAGACCTTCTCGCTCTCTCCAACTCCCTGAAAGGAGGGGGTAGAGAGGTGGGGGTTGGTCTCTTTTCTCAAGTCACAGGTGACAGGACAAGAGGAAATGGCCTCAAGTTACACCAGGGGAGGTTCAGGCTGGATATTAGGAAAAATTTTTTCACCAAAAGGGTTCTCAGGCATTGGAATGGGCTGCCCAGGGAGGTGGTTGAGGCCCCATCCCTGGAGGTGTTCAAAAGACGGGTTGATGTAGTGCTGGGAGGTCTGGTTTAGTGATGATGCTCCTTGTTTGTTGTGTGGGTGTCTGTTTTTGTCAGTTAGGTTGATGGTTGGACAAGATGATCTTTGAGGTCCCTTCCAACCTAGAAGATTCTGTGATTATCAAATATCCATGGGCTGCACTGGGGCCAGCAAGAGAAAAACCAGAAGTGATCCTCAGGGAGAAGTTTGCTCAGCTTCTTCTAGAAGTCTTTGGTGCTTACACTGCAAGCTCTGACACAGAGTTGAGTTAAAAATGGGAGGTCCTTATATCAGACTTGTGGAACGTAATGCCCTCCTGTCTTACTTCTGACTCATGAGTACAGTTGGGTTGGTGGTGTGGCTCTCTTCTCCTTCCCATTCCTGCTTCTTTTCTGCTTACACTCCCCTGCAGCCCAAAAAAATATATACTTACAACCCCATGGCATCCTCCTTGAGGTCCGCTATGTTTATTTTTGTGTGTTTTAATAGTAAATTGGCAGTGACAGGCTTGGCAACAATTTGCTTTGGCAACAGGAGTATTTACAAGAAGCACTAAAGACTCTTGGTTTGCCTCAAGAGGATCTCCCTTCCCAAAGCCAATGCCAATTCTGCCTGGCCTGAGATGAGACGTATTAGGGTGATGAGTTGAGAAACCCCTTCAGCTTTGGGATCTGCTCACAAGAAAATATATACTTACAACCCCGTGGCATCCTCCTTGAGGTCCATTATGTTTATTTTTGTGTGTTTTACTAGTAAATTGGCAGTGACAGGCTTGGCAGCAAAGTGCTTTACAAGAAGCACTAGGGACTCTTGGTTTGCCTCAAGAGGATCTCCCTTCCCAAAGCCAATGCCAATTCTGCCTGGCCTGAGATGAGACGTATTAGGGTGATGAGTTGAGAAACCCCTTCAGCTTTGGGATCTGCTCTCCCCTCAGCTCTAGACTTTTCTTCCCATACTCACCTGGACTCCAAAGACATGTCAGATTTTGGTGATTTTTGGCAAGGCAGCTAGGACTGGTACAACATATATTTTTTGTACGTGTGTTTTCCTAACCTGCACAGGACTTGGAGACAGAAGACAATACTTAATACTCCCTAGGAAGGGTGAAAGCAGTTCATGTTACTAAAGGAAAGTATAGTACTGAGCCAGCTCTAGCCCAGAAGCCTTTGATATTTGTTAAAACATTTATTTTAACGGCATCTAACAAGAAAAGTTCTTGTTTATCCAGCTATGCCAGTAAAAACCTTGTTTTTTGCCGGTTCAGCTTATTTTGTGGAAGGACCCAGCGTGAGTTCTCTAATGACACTCTCAGAGCTCTTTGCATAATTCATTTTAACCATACACTGAACAACTTAATCAAGCAGGAGCACTGGATTATACTGAACTCAGGAAGCCCAGTGCTCAAACACCAATCCCAGGTGGTTTTTTTTCCTTCGTGCAGTTAGAAATGTGTGAATCTGGAGTGGCTCATCCTAAGACCAGTGTGTACATAGTCTTTGTCAGTCTTTAATAATGCTGATGTCTGGTAGATACCAGTCCAATCAATGCCTCTATATGTTGTAATTACAGTCATAATCATCATATAATCATAATCATATAATAATTTTAACAACAGATAACCCAACTGTTTCTTTGCGTCCAGTTTGCATTAGCTGAAAAGGGTGAATATCACATTTTAGACACTTCTGAAATTCAGGTTTGTGTTTATCTTCTAAAACAAAAGATAATTTCAAAGAGGTGAAAGTTTTAGCTTATCTTGTGTATTCGGACAGTCCATGAGCTGGTTGCTCTTGTGGTTGTTGCTTTGCTGGACTCATACAGTGATTAGTGCCCCTCCTAAAAGTCTCAGGAGCTTTTCGTTTTTTGTAAATGATCTATTTTTAGGGTGGTTTTTTTTTTTTTTTTTTCCCTTTAAAGAAGAAGTCCTATTACTTTTCTTTCCTTCGAATGAACTTTGAGGTAAGGGTTATTAAAGTTAATAGAACTGTTCATTTTTTAAAATAAATAAATTAATAAAGGCCTACACAGGAGCGGGGCCAAATGCCGAAGTCCTTATTGAAGCCCATATTCTGATCTCTGTTGCAGTGCTGTAAGTCAAAAGA